CCTAACACTGCAGCCCTTTAATACAGTTCCTCATGCTGTGGTGACCCCGAACCATACAATTATTCTCATCGCTACTTCATAACTGTAATTTTGCTACTGTTATTAATCGTAATGTAAATATCTGTGTTTTCCAACGGTCTGAGATGACCCCTGTTGAGAATCACTGATATGGGGCAACTGCCCTTCATGTCCTGGCGTGCTGAGAACCACCACCTGTGTTCCAATTCAGGCTCTTAGAGCACTTTCCACCATGCCTGGTGGCGGCTGAGGTAAGTGTCACCACAGGTGACCATGGCCAACACGGTTTAAGTGTTTCTGAATCTAATTTAGACCTCACAGACTTCTTAAAGAGGATTCTCCTGCGGTATGCATACCATATTCTAGAAGCTGATCGGATAGGTTACTCTGAAAAACAAAGCCCCAGGAGTTCACAATACAAATGTCTGGCTTGTGCTCCTAGTACCTTCTAGTACCTACAGGGTGGGAACTACATCGCACCAAGACCAGAACCCAAGAAGAGAAGGAGGGATGAAGGGACCCGTCTCCACAAGGGCTGTGCTTCCCCGGCCCTCTGAGCCAGGGAAGAACCAGAATGACAGAGCGGGAGATGGAAAGAGAGTGCAGACAGCATAGACTAAATAATGGAGGTCATCAGACCCCTGCTGGAGGCCACCAGTAAGCGTGAGACCTGGATTCTTGGGGGAAACCAGAGGAATCTATATTTTTGAAATCCCCACCTTTTTGGAACTCACTCTGTAGACCAGGCTGGGCTTGAACTCACAGAGATCCTCCTGCCTCGTCCTCCCAAGTGCTGGGCATCAAAACTGAGCACCACCACTCCCCGCAGCATGATCCCATTTTTTAAAACACCACGCACAGAACATTAGCCAGTTTACTAATGTTACCTTGTCACAAACGGAGAGCCTCAATTTGAAAATCTGGGCTGGTCTGTAACACAGTCAGACACCAACCCTTCTCAGAGGTCCAGTTCCTGATCACACTCCAGTCCTGCGAAGGACACTCGGCGGAGGAGTAAGATGGCCACAGGATCTGAGGATGACACGGATGAGCAATGCCCAGCCTTTGGTCCCACTTCACAGACATGAAGCCAAGCTACACGGGAAGGAAACAGCCTGAGACCCGAGAAAGGAAGAGGTGGCAGCTATAAATGAGTCTTGGGCAAAACAATCTGATGGGCTGCAAGAAAGTTCTCCAAGAGCCGCACAGGAGAGTGCTCCAAGAGAGAGTGCTCCAAGAGAGAGTTCTCCAAGAGCTGCACAGAAGAGTGCTCCAAGAGCCACACAGGAGAGTGCTCTGAGAGCTGCACAGGACTGTGCTCCAAGAGAGAGTGCTCCAAGAGCCGCACAGGAGAGTGCTCCAAAAGAGAATGCTCCAAGAGCCGCACAAGAGAATGCTCCAAGAGAGAGTGCTCCAAAAGCCGCACAGGAGAGTGCTCCAAGAGCCACACAGGAGAGTGCCCCAAGAGCCGCAAAGGACAGTGCTCCATGTGCCTCACAGGAGGTGTTTCAAGAGCAGCACAGAAGAGGGCTCCAAGAACCAGAATTGCAACACAAGCTCTCAGCACCTCAAGGGCAAAAGCGGAGGCTAACAACACAGGGCTGGCTGGGTATGCAGAAGTTTGCCTTACACTTTACAAACCGACAGCACTTCCTACCAGCCACTTTTAAGAGCTGTAGTTCGCCGGTGACAGCCTGTGACAGCATCCCAGGGCCAACCGAGTTGTGTGTAGCTACCCAGTTGTGAACTGAATACCCATCGCTACACTGGAATCCATGCCAGACCCTTCACTCCCAAGATGGCATTAGCGGATAGTGGCATCCACAGATTGACAAGTGGAGTGTCTCTGAGGTAACTAGAATCCTGTGAGGTCATGGGGTGGAGTCCCCAGGGATGGATGGACTGGAATATCTGAAAGGGGTTGAAGGGACCGGTGTGCAGCTGGGTCAGGGGGTGAGGGGACACCACATGCAGAATCTGCCAGCATCCGAGTCTGGGACCTCCTAGCTGCTAGGATGCATGTGTGTTGTTCAGGCCACCAGAGTTCATGTGGTGTTGCAGTAACCCACACTACGAAGACAAGTTCATTCCACCCTGATGGGACTTGAGTCTCACTTAGGCTCTGCACATAGATGTCATCTACTAGTCAAAGGCTCTAGCATAACAACAGGGCAGCAAAAGGCGGCAATGATTATCAATGCTCCTGGCTTCAGAGAAAATAGAAAAGCAAAAACAAAAACAAAACACCACACCATACCACACACACACAGTAGTTAAAATGTGGCTGTAGGGAAGGCTGCCAGGTAGACAGTATCTGAGCCAAGATTAAGAAGAAGAAGAAAAAAAAAGGAATAAACTGAGAAGTCATCACCCCCACCAAGAAGACTCACTTGAACCAATATCCAGCCCCAGGAAGTCCTGGGGGTAGGGACAGAGAAGAAGGCTGGAGTGTCTGAACAAGACACACAGGTCTCTGTTCTCGAGAAAATTGTGTTGAAAAAGAAGGGTGAGGTGACACAGATGGGGAAGCACACAAACGAGAAACACCGGGTTTGTAATTGCCACACATAAAAATGGCGGAAAGGCAGGCAGGGGAGTGCGTGACACTGGGTCACCAGCGTGACCTGTGTCATTAGCTGTGGTCAGGTGGGCCCCGAATGACCAAAATTCATCCCATCACACAGAGAACTCAAAGGAGCTCTTTTCACTTGAGCAAAGAATTACCCATTCGGGAAGGCCATGGTGGAAACCTTGTCTAGATTATCACCCCTGTCACTGCACAGACAGCGAGACAAACAGAAAGAAGGCCTGCTGGGCTGCGCACCAGCCCAGGCAACAGACCAGAGTGTCTTAGCCCTGAGTGGGTGACAGACATAATTCTGGCCAATGAACAGGCACAGGACATTGCAGAGCCAGAGCCAATGTTTTGGGGACAGGAGGGACAGGAAGAAAAGAATGACAGGACTGTGAAGAGTAAAATCACTTAGAGAGACAGTGAGGACTGGAAAGGTACAAAACCGCCAGAGGAGAGCCAAGGGTTCTGTTCCAGGGGGCGGAATGGAAACAATTACCTGAATTTGGAAAACTGAGACAGGAGGATTACAAGTTCAAGTCAAATCTTGACAAGATAAGAATACACACACACACACACACACACACACACACACACACCACTATTCAGAAAAGAAGAAAAACGATGAAGTAGACAGAAGAATTTGGGACTTTCTGGGCAGGACTAGTCTAAAGTAACATACTGAGATGTTAATGGCACTCAGAGGAACAGCGAAGCTAGTCCACACCCAGGCAGGTGTAGAGCTAGGCTTTCTAGCCTAGGTCAGTTTGCAGCACGCGCTAAGGTCCCCTAGACAAAGGAAGGAGCATGGTGTGTGGAAATGAGTCTACAGACACAACTCATGAAGGCCAGCTGCTCACGTGACCACACATGCCTCTGTAATACTTGGCCTGTGTCTACAACCAGGTGAGAGGTGAGATGCACTTTCCTCTCCCCCCCCCCCAATTGCTCTCCTGCCTCCCCAGCCTCCAGGTGACATTTACTTTTATCTACACACTACTCATCTATACATTTAATGCATGAACTTGACCTCTCAGGACAGCTGCCTCCCTCAGCCTTTCCAAAGAAGCGGGGAGAGATTTGAGGAAACTTTCCTCCAAAGAAGGTTTAAGTAGCCCTTAAGTTCCGTACCCTTAACCCTTAGAAAATGGCAACAAAATTGCAGTGAGAATCTTTGCACCTGTTGTAACAAGGTAACAAAGAGACTACAGAGGACACAAGACAGACTGTAGCACGCCGAAAACTCACAAAGCAAAGGCTGTGAGACATAAAAACAGAATGGAATGTAAGAGAAAAGAAGTAAAACCGGATCAAAGGATAAATTGGGAGGTGGGGCAGCTGAAGGGCAGAATTCTGGGTAACCCAGAATGAAGCTTTGGTTATTGTTTCTCTTAAAACTAGATTGCAACTCTCTAGGAACTCTCAACCCGCACAAAAATGAAAAGAGAAGGTTAAGAGAAAAAAAAATCCACCCAACCAAGGTGTGCACAAAAAGGGGCACCTCCAGGAGCCTGTTGGGTCACCCAAGTGAACACAGCACAGAGCCCTTGGCCACTTCCTGGCTGAGCCACCTCTACCTACTGCCCACCCGTCCACCGAGAGGTCTGGGTGCAGAGCAGGGGCGTGCCGGAGGATGAAATGCTGGGCACAGGTCTGAGTCACTGCTCTGCCTGGCCTACCAGTCAGGTCTGGCATAGGGGGAGGGAGGGTACAAAGACCTGGGATACCCCCCCTTTCTGACCCTCCATATAGCGTTCAACACACAAGAGGCTAAAAGGGAAGCGTCAGAGGACAGGAGCGAGGGGAACAATCAGAGGGAGGAGGACTACAGAGTTGAGGTCAGAGGATAGAGGACTGAAGGAGGGGTGGAGGGAAGACCAGATGATCAGAAGGAGGAGTACTGGATGATCCAAGACTTAAAGGAAGAGAAACAGAGGCCTGGAGGGAGTAGAAAAAGGACTACAAGGTGGGACCGCAGGGAGGGGCATCAGAGGACCAGAGAAGACAGAGGATCGAGGATCGGAGGGAAGAAGTGTGAGAACGGAGGATCATGGATGGAGGGCTGGAGAAGGGAAGAGGGTTGGAAGAGGGCAGGGGAGGACGAAGGATGGGCGGGAGGAAGGCAGAGAATCAGAGGAAGCAAGGGACGGAGGAAGGGCGGGAGGGGGCTGAAGAAGGGCAGAGGAGGGGAAGGAGGAGGGCTGGGGGAGGACGAAAGGTCAGAGGGAGGAGGGCTGATGGAGGACGGGGGGAGCTAGTGGGGAGGAAAGAGAGCTGGGGGATAGGAGGGAGGAGGACTAGAGCATAGGAAATAGAGAGGAGATCTGGGGGAGGACAGAAGATCTGAGGGAGGAGGGCTAGTGGAGGAAGAAGGATCAGAGGGACAGAGGTCCCGAGCGCACTCGCTTACCTGCTTGAAGGTGCTGCTAAGGAAGTAAACCAGCGAGAGCCCGAAAACCAGGGCGAGCACCCAGCGCTTGCGCAGGAGCCGGCGCCACAGCAGCGCTGCAAGGTTCAGCATCCCGAAGCGGCGCAGGCGCAGAGACGACCCCGCGGCATGACCCTCCAAGTTCGCTCCTAACCCTGCCCAGCCTTCCCGCAGCAGCCGCCCCGGCCACGTGATCCGCCGCACGCTCCGCCCCGCCCAGTGATGCCCCTGCCAGGCCCCCTCCGTGCTTTCTTGCCATTGGTCCCTGCAGAGACACGGCCTTCTATTGGCTGAATCCGGAGGCACGGGCGGGCCGTCGCAGACCAGAGGCCGGTGTTGCTGTGCCTGGGTCCTAGCGCCGACCTTGCGCACCTGGCTGAGCCGACCGGAAGTCACGTGCCGCCCGGGCCGCGCCAGTGATTGGCTCGGCTGGATTAGAGGAGGCCGTGATTGCTGAAGTGTCTGGAAGGTAAACGAAGGCGAAGCTCGCCCTTCGCTCCCCTGCCGCCCTGCAAGCCGGGCCAGAAAGGCTTCCCCTGTGCGCGCGGTGCGGCCCTGGACCGGCCTGGGGACGCCGCTTGAGCCCAAGCGTCCTGTAGGGTGTGTGTGGCCTCATAAGGAGGGCCAGGGTGTGTGGAACCAAGGCGGTTCATTCATTCATTCTATTGCATCCTGCTTGCAAGATATGTTCCAGGATTCGTTATTAGAATAGTTGTACCGCCTGCCTGCAGCAGAGTCGTAGGCATTTAATTTAGGACGTTGCGTCAAGCTTGTAGATGGAAACGTGGCGATGCTGTGTTTTATTTTCCCCGAGGATGAGTAGTTGGGCCAAGGGGAGTATTCAACCAGATTGCAAGTTCTTGGGGACTTGTTACATGATGGCATTCCCTTTCTTTATAAAGATGGCGGGGTCGAGGGTGTAGCTCGTTGATAGAGCGCTTGCCTGTATATGAAGATGGTGCCAAAGAGTCTTTTCCCACCTAATTTAACCTTGCAAAAACGATAAGCGACTTAGCTGGTGGCATCCTAGGTTGGTGGTCTTGTGAAGGCTGTGCAGAAGTAAGAAGCCCTTCAGTGACCGGTTGTGTTGGCCTGGGCTAACAGACCGTCTGTATGGGGGAAATACTCCAGGAAGCTGAACCTGTTCGTGGAAGCATATCCTTTATTTCTTTAAAGATGTTTTTATTTTTTAATTATGTGTTGAGTGCGGGTTTGTGCATGTGAGTGCAAGTGCCTTCCACAGCCAGTAGAGGGAGCTGAATCACCTGCAGCTGTAGTTACTGGTAGTTGTGAGCTGCCCATGTGGGTACTGGAAATGCACTTGGTTCTCCGCAGAAGCAGTGTACACACTCTCCAGGCTTTGTCCCTTTTTTTTTTTCTTGCTCTTTTATTGGTGTGGGAGGTGGGACAAGGTGCAGGGATCTAAGAAAACTGTGTCTGGGAAACCCAATGTATTTGCACAAGTACTTGATCACTCTTCATCTCTGCAATGCTGAGGTAGAGGGCAAACCAGACACCGGTCTCCTCATGGCTCATATAAAGGAACATCCATGTAAATGGCTGCTGTGAAGACAGCAGCCAGACCCCACAGGAACCGGGAGAGAAGAGAAGGCCTCCGGAAGGGGTTGCCATTTGTATCAGAGAAGTCAGCTGTGTAACCCTCAGCTGGAAAAGCATCCCGGGGGAAGAATAGCAAGTGTGAAGACCTGGAGCCGGGGAAAGGCTAACGTGATGATGTTTCAGGCACAACCTGGAGGCTTCTGGCAAATCTGATTTTACTGGGAAGCCAGTGGAAGTTAGAGAATTGTTTTCTGTATTCCCCAATCAGAATTCATGATTTTCTTTTTTTTTCCTTCCTGCCAGTGTATGTGTGCGCGCACGTGCATGAGTGTGTGCGTGTGTGCGTACATATGCAGGGGTGTATCGATGCTCATGTGCAGAATTGCACATGGGTGTGGATGTGCATATGCATGTGTGCCAGTCAGAGGTCACCCTGGGGAACCAGCTATTTCACTGGGACTTAGGGCTCATCAGCTAGAAAGACTGGGCCAGAGCATCCCAGGAATTCTCTGGTTTCAGCCTCCCCAGTGCTGGGATTACACGGCACACCACCATGCCCGGCTACGTACAGAGGTCCTCCTGCCTGTGTGCAAGCACTTTATCAACAGCTCTATGGCCTCAACCCCCAGGAGTCATAGTCTGCTAATAAGCCATATCTATTGAAGCCATAGCCAGCCGTAAGTGCCTCAGAGGAGGGGTAGCTAAGAGGCTACAGAACTACAGGGCAAATGGGATCACCCGTTATAGTTACCAGGTGCATCCTTCAGTTTGTTACATGTAGAAGTCATCCCATGACCTGTTTACCCAAGTGCTTTGTGCCACCCAAGGTCTGATGTGTTGGGGGAGCCCCTGCCCTGCGCTTCCCTCTGAAGAGGAAGGACAAAAGGCCTGCTGTCTCTGGGATGCGGTAGCCACATTACAGCAGGAACCCTGAACGTCCACGGCCCATTTCGTCAACATGGAGGTCTGAAGTCCATGTGGCTCCTTGCGGTGCACCAGGTGATGTGTCGCGCCTTCGTTTGCCAAATGTGTGAGAGGGAAGGAGGCTTTCAGTCTGACCGTGCCATTCCCTCCCGTGGGACAGATGGGGAGCGGAAGGCCACAGAGAGGTTTCTGATCTGTCTGAGGTCACACAGCAAGTTAAAGGGTTGGCGCTGTCTGCATCTCACTGCACCCCATCTAGCACCTGTCCGTAGTCACCTGTGCTATTTTCTCCTTTTACAGAAGAGCCAGCTCCACATGTGACTCTCAGGACCTCTCTCCTGTGGGATATAATACCTTGGGTTGCATGGCAGAAATGATCGAAGTCTGGTTTGGAAGTTGTCAGAGAGCCCTAGCATGTAACACAGGAGGGATGCTTGTTTATAGTTACCATGGCATCAGGCAAGGGTTGTGTCCGGGGAGGTGACTCACACATGTGTTGGCTTTCAGGTGCTAAGGAAAATGCAGAGACGCCACAGTAGCAACACTGACAATATTCCACCTGAAAGGTAAGAATCCTCCTCCCCCAACTCCCCAACATATGGGGACCCTACACTCTGGATGGTAAAATGAATTGAAAAATACCCATATCTCAATGTTAGTTGTTGGAGATATAAAACAGACCAAACGGGAAATTGCTTAGCGGCGTATGCGGCAGCTTTACGTTCCTCTAAGAGCACACTTGAGGCGTGTGACTTCATAAGGAGAAAGGGTTTTTGTAGCTCACAGTCTTGGAGGATGAGAGAGTAAATGGCCACCTTTGACCTCATCACCTCGTGTCATGGATGGCTGTGGTGGCTGGATGCACGTGTGGGTGGGAGTGGTGTGCTTCTCAAACATGGCGGAGAGGAGCAGGTAGACTCCCTAGAGAAGAAAGTGCTTGTCCAGCAAGCGGTGGACCAGAGTTTACATTCCTAGAGCCCATGTAAAGACGGGCCGGCTTAGCGGTCACCTGGAATCCCCGTACCTGAGAGGCAGAGACAGGAAACCTCCGGGCACCTCCTCTGCCTAGACGGGTGGGGGTCGGCTTGCTCTGGGTTCAGCAGGAAGCGCTGCCTGCAGAAATAAGAAACACAGAGGAGAGCTCTGCTCTGCTCAGACTGTGCTCCTCACATGCAGTGTACGCCCTCAAGGACCTAAATGCTACCACTAGGCTCCACCTCGTAAAGGCCCACAGCACCCCCTAATAGCACACCCTCGGGACTTTCTCCTTTGAGCGCAGCAGCCTTGCAGCAGGGACTGACAGAACACTGCTGTTGTCTTAGCAGTTCCCAAACCCTGTAGGACAGATCCACAAGGATCCACGAGGCTCAGAGGAGTGATCGTTCCTGCCGGGTTTTCCTTCAGAGACGCCTGGCCTCCGTTAGCTGCTACTGCACGCTGCACACTGCACACTGCACACTGTACACTGCACACTGCACGGGGTCCATCCTGCCTCTTGCCACACAGGCATCTATCTACAAAGGCTGGGAAGTCCAAGATCAGGGATCTGGAAGACCTGTGCCTGCTGAGAGCTGCCTCCTCTTTCCTAGAAGGCTGTGTGTGAACCATTGACTTTATTGGGGCCATTTTCTGGGGACCTTGAGTGATTCAAAGGAAGATGCATCACCAAAAAGCCCATCCCAGCAGGGCTGCTACGCTGGAGTTTTCCCTTCAGGGAACCTTCCAGCGCCCACATATATATAATCAGCTCTCCTGGAACCGTGTGTAGCTGTGGGGGCACAGGAGGCAGGGGAGTGGTTTCTGCTTTTCCCTCTGTGAGGTCCAGTCTTGTGCGGATTGGGTGTAGCAGTCCTGATTTCAGGAAGGAACAGCCACACCTTTATCCAGTCTCGGGCCTTTTCATCGGCCCAGATAGTGGACACACACAGCAGCTGTAGTGCCGTTGGCAGGAAGCAGCACCTCCAGGTCTGAGTTTCTCCAGCCGTAGAAAGGTGGTGCATGCCAGCATTGCTGAGGGTGAAGGAATGTGTCTTCTTCCTGAGCACGAGGATGCACAGAGGCAGCATCTCTCTTACGGTTAGTTAGCGTGCCTGATCGGATCTCCTGAGCTGAGGACAGCTTTTCTTTCAAGTAAACTCAGACATCTTTGGGGGCAGAAATCATGGTAGAAAAAAAATCCTGTCCACCATGCATTGAGGGCATCCTCTGTGCCTCCGTTCGAGCATCCTGAAGACAAGAAACTGGAGTCCGGAGAGGGCAAGTCCATTAGCTAAAGTCACACAAGCCAGGAAACGGCAGGATTAAGATTTGACCTCTGGTCCATTTGTTCCAATCAAAATTTGCACTTTAACGTTTAATTACATTCTGTATTTATTTGGGCAGGTGCCTGTGTCATGGCAGGTGGGTAGGTCAGCTTGTAGGAGTCCATTCTCTCTTTGCACCATTTGAGTCCCAGGTATCAGACTCAGTAGACACCTTCACCTCTGAACCCATCTTCTGGGCCCCTTTTAGACGTCATATTTTACCTTCTTCCACCCAAGCGGATCCATTCCCCTGGGCCCTCTGAGCTGTTGCCCTTAAGTGGTTAAGTTGGAAGTGCAGCTCTAACCCCCAAGGAATATTCTTTCCCATTTTGGCTACAGTCCCAGCTGGAGACAGGAGAAGGGCTGAGGGGAGGGAGGCCAACTAAAAAAAAACCCCTTG